ACATGAAATTATCTTTATTTATAAAGAAGGAATTGTTAATTGTATAGTGTTCTTCACTCAACCTAATGCTATAATAAGTCTGTAAGGAAGGCGTGTCTATTATTAGTTATAAAAATTACAGCATCAAAACTACTGATATGGCAAGAGTAGAGCATGTGACTCATTAATCTGTTTGCATTGGGAATTTTGAAGGCTGATAAAATAGATTCAGCTACAATTTTAAATAGTAGAGTATGTAAATGTAGCACTAACTTTACGTGATCCTACCAAGTTTATCATTTACTGCAGGCGGAAAAGGTTTTAGGAAGCAACCATATCCAGTTTATAGACAGAGGCTGATTTTTTTTGTCACACCACAAATACGTGGAATAGGTTAGCAAAGCACATTTACGTTGATAACAACAGAATCCAGAGAATATATTCACGAATTGACATCTAGCGGGCCTTGAGAAGCACCTACATTTGCTATGAATCCTAAATAGTAATACTCACCAACAGAAGAAGATGTCCAGCAAGGCCAACAGGTTGCTTAGTACCAGTTTCATTACCATTCTGAAAATGATTTGGAATAATAACTAAGAATATTTGTAGGAACCCAAAAAAGCAACATACACAAAGAGAAGGGGGGCACTTTATTCACATGAATTTATACATATTGAGAACCATGGCCGGCTCATACATCCTCAGTGAAAAATGGAACACCTAAATGAAATGGCAAACCATCTAAGCATCCAACAAAGGTCCTGAACATTTAAAATAGTACCAGTTTCATTACCCACTGCAACTTTCAGTAAGCAGTACTATTAATGGGTTGGATCTAAAAAAGAAAAGAATGGCAGAAAGGAACCTGTGGAGCACTAACCTTCAACAACAAATCTGTTCTACCATCGGCTAACTATCCTGCAAAAACATGGGCCCAAAAGTTTGAGCACTCGTATATCATGTACATAATGTTGGTGTCTTCAGCAATGACAATCCGATATATAAAATATATTGGTAAGTAAGGATAGCAATTACCTCTGAGACTTGAGTGAGGAAAATGAATCATACATTTGATGGCTCCATCAACCTTTGCAGTAGTATAATAATAAGGGATGGTGGTTCATATTACTTGAAAGTGTAGAAAAATAATTCATCGGTAGTTGTGAGTTTTAAACATTTGGTACTAAACTAATGCATTGCTATTTGAGAAGACGTGATGATTATATATGGATTTGAAATAGAATTTGCGATTAGGGAAAATATCTAGGACCAATGTGCGGCAAGGGCAAGATAATAGGTAGTGCCTTCGTCAATATCCTGACTTTGATACCTAGTGCCAATCCTGCAAAAACATTTGTTACCTTCACTCCAAAATTATGAATCTTGAATTTGTGAGGATTCAGAGGCGAGACCATGAAGCCCTTATTTATTTGATAGAGGCGAGAAAAATGAAGTTAGCTTTGAGGTCTTTGGATCGCAGGATAAGCACATATTTAATATACCGGTCAAAATTGAATAGGTATGAAATTGAACTGAACCCACTAATACAAAATACAAATTCACAGTTCAAACCATAAAGCGGCGATTTCGAGGATCGGTACATTTCGAAATCGAACACAAGCCACCAAAATAAAATACGAACTCACAGATCAAACCATGAACTAACCGAATTGATCAACAATTAAACGAACCAATTAAATGAGCGCATCAATACATACCTGGTCAAAGTTATCATCCACCAACGCCGCACGTATCACAGAGATCAGTACACATCGAATACATCTAGGCACAATTGCACGTGTATGAAATAAGGCATGAACCTGTAAGCAGAATACAAACTCATAGAACAAACAATAAACTAATCAAATTGATCAACAATTGAACGAAGAGAATGAACGTATCAAGACACACCGCCGAAAAACATTCAAACTAGGGTTTCATGTAGCTTTTTGTAGCACGCGAGCAAATGGAGCAGAGGGACAAGGCGTTGACGAGCTCCGCGTGCAGGATGTGGGAGAGGGAGCGGGCAGCGGCCCCAACTGCTGCGCCAGCTGCGAGGGCAGCCGCCCGCCGCCTCGCATGAGCCGCCACTCGGGAGGGAAGGGGGAGAGAGAGAGAAAGGGAGGAGAGGCGGAGGAGAGGCGGGGAGGGAGGGCTGGGAGGAGGAGGAGGATGGTGGGGGCGCCGCACCATGGACGCCTTCGCTGGCCACCCCCACCCAAGGTCGGAGGGTGAGAGCGAGAGAGAGCGAACACGAGAGAGAAAGGAGGGGAAGAGAAGCTTTGTGAAGGAGAAGCCGTCCCTACAAATGGACACAGCAGGGACTGTTGGTAATAGCCGCCTCTACATACCAGCCGTCCCTACAAATCGACGTATTTGTAGGAGCGGCTCATATTACCAGCCGCCCCTATTGTGCCATTTGTAGGGGCGGCTGCTGTGCTGAAGCCCAAGCACGTCACTGTAGGTGCTGCTCCAATGCTAGCCGCCCATAAAAAAAGCTCCATTGGTACAAACTGTTTTTCACGTAGTGAGCACCATTAACATTTGAGTTAAAAAAAAATAAAAATAGAGTAACCTAAGACCTAATATGTTAATATAGAAAAATGTTTGAGTATGGAGACATGAATAGCATGAAAGTGCATGAGATTAGTTTTTTTATGAAGAGATAAGTTATCATTCTTTCTCTCTTTTTTTAAAAAAAATAAAATATTCTATGATATAGTATTTTTTAAGACATTATTGGAGCTACTCACTCTTAGTGCTGGTAATTACTGCTACTACTCACCCTCAGTGCAGTATGTGCACACTGGATCGATCGGTTTCCTTTTGTCGTAGCCGGGAGCATGCATCAGCATGCTGTATGTTGTTCCTTAGTTGGAATACGGAATAATAAACTAATACTACCCTGTTCAACTTTTCGTTAACACAGTAGTCCTTTAGCCGACACGTCGATTATACAATTCTATACTCCCCACCACCAGAGGAGTGCCTGTCGTCGTCAGCATCGTCTTGATGAGCATGGGTCAGCACCCCAGATGCATGCCCCAATCATCTAGGGCACTCATTCATGACGTAATAGCAAGTTGTTCTTTGATGATGGTCAATTTTTCACTTATTATTGACTACCTAGAGCCCTTGCATTTCATTCATTATGCTGTTTTCTCTTGAATTTTTTCTTGGTTCCTTTGTAAATACTCCTTCTATCGATTCTGGTTTTAGAACGGCACATGAGATAGGGGCAAGGCGGTTTCTTCCTCTGGCCGCTGGCCATTTAGGGTGCGTTTGCGAGGGTGGCTCAGGCCGGCCTTGCGCCAGGTCAATTTGAGGCTCCGTGTTTCTTTGCTTGGCCGCGCATGAAAGCAGCCCGGCTCCAGGAGTCAACACGCCGCCGCGCTTGGCCTGGAGAAGCGCCGCTAGGCCCGTTTCTATCTTGGCGAGGCTTTCATGCTGGAGGCAGCAAGCTTGCGGACGGGACATGTCAGTGAGACAGCGGATGCTCGCATGCAGTGAACCAAACGAAATCTCCGAACAGCCAGTCTCTGTGAGTACGATAACCAAACACCAGTCATGTGCATGCGCTCGGCCTGGCTACCTACAGCCTGGCTGCCCAGGTACACCCTCGCAAACGCACCCTTAGGCTCCGTTTGATGGGGTTATGAGCTCGTGCGCTGCAGCGATGACCAGTTTCTTCCCCTCTCTTTTCAAAATGAACTAGGAGCCTATAAAGACATCTTTTTTTGATTGACTCTAGCCCCTCCGCACACTGTAGCAAGAAACAGAAGACCGTCTGCCAAACAGGATCCAAAACACCGTACCATCCGTCACGGATCATGCCACATTCCTCCACGCTGGTTTCCGGTGGTCTACTCCATGGGAGCAAGCTTTTGAGTTATTATTGTTGTTGTTTCTAAAATTGTTTCTCACACAAATATATATATATAGGAGTATATATATTTCTCCCCTAAATTTGGCCACGAATCCGTTGGACGCCATCCCAGCCCAACCCTGCATGATTGGTTCTAAACGAGCGCGAGCGAACGCATGGCTCCCAATTATTGGCGCTCGACGGCTCCTAAATCCACTGCCCCAAAAATTTGAAAAAAAATAGCCAAAAACAAGCGGCATGGACCAAAGTCGCTACTACAAACAAGGACAGCGGCAAGACGAAGAACCTCCACACCAGCTTCAATTTGCGCACATAAATACCCTTCTCCGCCACTTGCAAATTTTCCTATTCCATTTCTTCTTCGTCCTCGCACCTGTCCCCTCCTCCTCGGAAGCGAGAGAGGAGAGGGGAGGGACAGGGAGAGGGAGGAGCGAGGCACCGGTGAGCTCGGGAGGAGGCTGCGTGGGGCTTGCACGCCGGCCCTACCCTTCCCCAGCTCACTCACCACGCCACGCTCTCCTCTCACCAACTCTTTCCCTCTCTCTTATCTCCTTCCAAGATCGGGGATCCCACCCCCCCTTTTTTTTGGGTTTGTCCCCACCATTCTTGCTAGGATCATTCCTTGATCTTTCGCTCGCTCCAGTACGCCCGTTTTTTCCAGCTCCGGAGATCCCATCTCGGCCACCACCTCCTGCGGTTTCCAAGCTCCAAGAAGAGGCCAGATTCATTCCAGCTCAAATTTGAGCTCAATTTGCCCGCGGAGCTCGAATCAATCCGGGAACAACCGGCTCGGCAACAAGTGTCCTTCATTCCCCCCGATCCCCGGGCTTCGATTCGATCGAATCCGACCTAATTTTATTGTGTGTGTGTGTGTTTTTTTGACCTTCTCTCGCCGCGCTTTTCCTTTCTCCTCCCTGTCGCAAAGTGGGTTCCATCGCGTCACCCGCACGGCTCCTCTCCGATTGGCCGGAGAAAGAAAGCGCATAAAAGGCGAGCTCTTGCCTCTTGATGCGGTCTTGGTCGTAGCAACAACATACAACAACTCCACTGCTCCTGCTGCCCTCGCTTGCTGTTGTTTATCCATATACGGACGGAGCAGCAGCGGGCGCTCCGGCAGCGGCAGCGCGTGCTGATGCTTGCCCTGCTGGCCGCCGTCGCCGTCGCCTGCCTGCTCTTCCTGTCCAGGCCATGCGCGCGTGACATGAGACTGTTCCTCGCCTCCCTGTGCCGGCAGCTCCTGCTCTCCCTGCTCAGGTTCCTGGCAGGCCTCCGCCTGCTCGGCGGCGTCGCGGCCGCCTCCGCGGCTACAGAGACCATGCCGCTCATGCCGTCCTTCAAGAGGAAGCGCGCCGCAGCCACGGTGGAGAATGCGGAGGATGCCGCCGCCGCCGCCGGCGGCGGCGGCGGCGAGCCGTCGGTGCTCGACCTGCCGGAGCTGGCCATCGATTGCATTCTCGAGAGGCTGCAGCCGGCGGAGCTGCGGAGCATGGCCGCCGTCTGCCGCTCCATGCGCGAGCGCTGCCGCGGCGACCACCTCTGGGAGCGCCACATGACCAGCAAGTGGGGCCGTGTCCTGGGCCGCGCCGCCAGGGACGAATGGAGGACGCACCTGGCGTCCGTCAGCGAGTCCGGCGCCGCGGGCTCTGTCTCGGGCGGCGGCGGCGGCGGCAAGCGCCGGAGGTGGCTCGCCGCGCTGTCCTGCGTTTGCCCGGTGGTGTCCTGGATGCGGCCGAAGGCCGACGGTGGCAAGTCGTCCGCCCCCGTGCTGGATGATTCCATCATGTCGTGGTATCTGTCCATGGAGAGTGGCAAGTTCTGGTTCCCAGCTCAGGTCTACAACCGCGAGGTACCATCTCATGTCTTGTCATTTACTACTAGCTAGCAGTTCCATCATTTCAAAGCTTGCTAATTAGCACTCTTTGTTCGTCCTCACTAGTGCTAATTACTGAACTTTTAGTGTTGGATTACCGGAAATATTTTACATCCCAATTTGGTTTAGTAGTATATTTGCTTCTCTGCTCCAGCTGTGCTCAGTCCTGGACAGGCTTGCAATACACTAATTTGGTCAAATACTAGGATTGCAGCTTGTTTACATTTGTGTTCTTGTTGGTTCTTGTTCTTTGTTAGTTTCAAATCGTCTATTGAAGCAATCCTGAGGTTTCCTATCTCTTTTGCAGCATGGGCATGTTGGGTTCATGATGTCATGCTATGATGCAGAGCTCAGTTATGATTTCCATACTGACACATTCTGTGCAAGGTATGAATAACTTTTTCTGGCTTTTCCTTTGATGGCCAAGAAAAGATGTGGACGTGTTCTGATGATTTGTGTGGTGGATACAGTACATACAAGAAATATGATCTTTACAAGCTGAAAACTTGTTTCTTCAAATTGCCTTGCTTATTCTTAAAATTGTGTATGTGCCAGGTATCTGCCACACGGTCGACGAACTGTGGTCTTGGAGGATGGTGTGCAATGGGACAGGGTCAGGGCACCACCTGTTGACACTCTTGCGCATGATCTGCACACCTCTGACTGCCTACATGAACTCCGGCCTGGTGATCATATTGAGATTCAGTGGAGAAGGAACAAAGAATTCCCATATGGTATGTTCCCGAGCACCCAACAATGCTTGCTTTAGGTTGTGCCAGTGGAATCATTAAACACTGCCGTATGGCATATGCTAATCCTATCTGGGCCATGTTTAGTTGGAGGCCGGATTCGGCGTTACTGTAGCTACACTGTAGTGTTTTGTTTTTATTTGGTAATAATTGTCCAATCGTTGACTAATTAGGCTCAAAACGTTCGTCTCGCAAAGTACAACTAAACTGTGCAATTAGTTTTTGATTTCGTTAACATTTAGTACTCCATGCATGCATGTACCGCAAGTTTGATGTGACGGGGAATCTTCTTTTTACATAGTGCCAAATTCAGGAAATCTGGGGAACTAAACATGGCCCTGATAGTGGCGAGGAGTATTTTATCAGTGGGTAGTGTGTTCATTCATGCACTTCTATGTTTGGCAGGCTGGTGGTATGGAGTTGTTGGGCACTTGGAGCCATGTGATGGAAATGAACACTTTTGTCGGTGTCATCTTAGTGGTGAGAATATCTTTTAAGCAAAATAGCTACTTATTGAATTGACTAATAAGCCTACTCCCAACTTGTTTGGGACTTTAAGGCTTTGTTGTTGTTGTTGATTGAATTGACTAATAATCACAGAAGTTGTTGTATGCACATCTGCTTTTAATAGTCATGAACATGCCCGCAGAGTCTAAAGAACATTATTATATGGCAACATCATTGCCCAATACTCATTTTTCTCAAGCATTTTAGAAAAGCAAAATAGTACCCCCAAAATGGTCAATTAAGATATGTAGCATATGTTTGACCTTAATTGTGCTATAAGGGTGTTGCACACTAATGTGTATTCTTATTAATAAACTAAACTGCCATTTTTAACTATGATTATGGAAGCAGCTGGCTCTTAGCATGTATGGACATATTCAATTGTGTAATGAAACCATCTATTTAGGCACTAAACTTTCATTTATTTATTTATAATTTATCTATTCAGAGGTCAGCATCACTAGTTATGAAGTCTGAAGATTATCTGGTGTTAGACTCATGTAGAATATTTTAGGTAAAGAATCACAATCTTTGATGGGATATTAAATCTTTCGTCAGTCCATCCCTTTTAAAAGAATCCAAAATATTTGTGTCATTTTAAATGCAGTTGAACTCGAATGTCCTGTTACAGTGAATTTGTCATGAATCGAATATCACTTGAGATGACCCTTGGTAAATTTATCTGAGGCCTTTTGTGATTTCATGTAGTCCTACTCAAATTAACCCCAACTGTTGGTTATGCTGCAGACACCGTCGTGCTGGAGTTCAATCAGTACACGCCAGGCTCAAGATGGAGGCAAGCGCTGGTGAATCGGAAGGAACATAGGGAAGAGGGCAATGAGGGCGACGGGTTCTACGGCGGTGTAAGGAAGCTCCGCAGCAAGGATGACATCTCCAAGTGGAGGCAGCTGTGGCCAACAGACATCCTGGAGTAGCAAGAACATATTACTTCTCACATGGGGATTTATCGATTGCTCAATTGACATACCTTCCATTGACCATTGCTGTGTGCTCTGTCCACGGCCAATTCCTCTGCCGCCCTGTTGTACACGGATTAGAACACAACAAGGTGGCAACAAATCCTGTAGCTGGACAAGGGTGTAAACCTATTGTCAGACATACTGGGCGCAGACCGCTTCCTATTCATTCATGGGACTGTAACTGTAAGCCTGTAACCCTAAGCAGTCTGCGTCTTATGCCTGCTGTTGTAGCTGTAGAGCAGAAAGATCAAATGTAAATTACATTTTTTAGCTCAAATTCACGACAAATTGGTGGTGTCTCTCTCAGCTGTCCTTTCGGCGACGCTTGAATTTCGTGGAACAGCTTGGGCCATCTCTCTTCTTCAATCTTGAAGCAGCAGGATTTTATTTATCTTGCAGCGGCAATCGTGTGTGCTATGGAGGTAGTTTGAATGGGAGCAATTTTGGGGGACTTGCACTCTAATTTCTTCTTTTGTTTTGAGCATGGGTAGCAGCAAGGGTATAGATGTCCAACGGGCCGGCCCGGCCCGATGGGGGTCGGGCCAACAAGGCACGACGTGCCCTGCGGGCCGTGCCGCCATGGGCTTCGTGCCTGGCCGACGGCCCAGGCACGGCCTGCTGGGCAGTTTTTCGTGCCGGGCCGGCCCGAGAAGCATGGCTAATCTAGCGTGCCGGGCTGGCCCAAGGCCCACTACACCGACAGAGAGAGAGAGAGGGGGAGGCCAAGGCGCCAGGCTGCCGTCGTTGCTTCGGAAGGCCATGGACGACGCGACCTCTCCATCCGCGGAGGATGAGCGATGAGGAGGCCGGATCATCGGAGGATGAGCAATGAGGAGGCCGGATCCGTGGAGAATGAGGCCGGATCCGCGCAGAGGAGGCATGTGGAGGAGCAGCAGCGCGTGACGGTGAGGAGGAGGTGGCCACCGTCGGCGGAGGCGGGTTGGAGTGGAGGTGGGATTCGGCGAGCCGCGGGGAAGTAGGAGCTCGAGGCGTCGACGGCCGGCGGGGCGGAGCTCGAGCACGCCACGCTCGCACCCAAGGCGCGGCCTCGTGGAGGGATGGGAGGAGAGGAGCCCGAGGTAGGTCGCGGATGGCCGCCGTGGTGTTCTGCAGCTTGTGCACGAGGAGGAGGCGGCGGTCAGGGGGCGGAGAAGCGGTGAGCGGCGGGGAAGGAGAAGGCAGCGTCCCACGTCGTGCAGTCGCGGGAACGAGATTACTGGGAGGTGGCGGCGGGGGGGGAGGGAAGGCCGGAAGGGAGTTAGGGTTCGGCCGGGGTGGGAGCGTCTTGGCGATGCGGTGGGTCAATGGCTGCAGGCTGCAGCTGCTGCTGTGATGAGGCCTTATGAGGGGGGGGGGGGGGGGACTGGGCTGGGCCGCGTTGGGCATGAGGAGGAATGAGGAATTGAGGAGTGAGGAGGGGAGGGGTGGGCAGACCGCCGTCGGGCTTGGTGACTCAGTCGTGAGGCCGGGTGTGGCCCGTGCGTGCCGAACAGAGCTGGCCGGCTGCCAGCACGGCTTCTTGCCTGTCTTGGGGCAAGCACTGGGCCCGCATGTCACCGGGCCATGCCGTGCTCTTGTCGGGCTAAAAAGGCGGGCTTCGTGCCGTGCCGTCGTGCCTCGGGCTGCATGGACAACTATAAGCAAAGGGGCAATGGTATTCACAAAAATCGGTTATTTGGCCCCCATATGAGATGTATGTGATGTATGGGGATCTTTTCTTTCTCGGTAGTACAAAGAAGCGTAGCTGTCATGCATTTTCGGAGAGCGAGGGGAGGTGGCCATAAATCCACAACAAAAGAATGGATATGTTTAATTTTTGTGCAGATCCATTTATAGTTCGGTAATGCTCTAAATCCGTTCGTCCGGACGCTACGTTGATGGGCCACGACGCCAGTCTAATAGCCCACGCCCCTTTATTTTAAAAAAACTATTCATCCACTTATTTATATCCACTCGTTCATCTTTCTTATCACTTTTTATCCGCTCGTCTGCCGCTTCCGAGCGCACGGCCGGTAGCCCTCTGAGGCGCACCGCACACCGACGAGCCTCCATTCTGCCTAGCAGCAAGGAGATGGTGCGTTGAAAGCGCGTGTTGTAAGAGTATGTTTCAATGGTTTCAGAGGTTGCAAAAATAGATTGTGATGTTGCACATGTTGCAATGGTTGTACACGTATGTTGCAAGCATCCGTTCCAAATGTTTCATCTACTTTTTTAAACGTATGTTGCAAGTGTGCTTATTTAGATGTTGGATATGTTTTACACATATGTTGCAAAACTATTGTGGCTAGAACCGCCTAATCTAATGCCTCCTAAGAGTACTTGTCTTCCATTAAACACTAAGTACTCAAGGGAGGTGAAGGGGACCGTGACGCCAAAAGAGGGGGTGAATTAGGCAACTTAAAATTCTAACTCTAAACAAAGGCCTCTTTTTCTTACCCTAGCAAAACATATGCAAAAGATAAACTATTTAAATGTGTAACTACGGTTTTGCTAGTGTGTTGCTATCTCTACCGCAAAAGAAGTAATACAATCAATGTAAATACGGAAACTAAAGAGCAAGGTAGAGATATGCAAACTCCCGTCGATGACTCCGGTATTTTTACTGAGATATCGAGAAGCGTGCAAGCTTCCCCCCTAGTCCTCGTTGTAGCCCCTCGCAAGGGCCAAGCTCCCGGTCAGGTAACTCTGTGGATAGCCTCGTGCCTTCCCCACGCGCAAGTGGGTCTCCGACGTGCCTTCTGGCAAGGCTCTCCCGGATGCTCCCCGCCGTCTTCACTATCAAGCTTCCGGCCGAAACGCCACGGGCCTTGTTCCCTCCTGTACACGGTGGCGGCCACACCATAAACGCGGTTGGTGTGATCTCACAAGACTACAAGCCCTCCGATGTACAACAATGGTGCGCGCAAGCACCGAGTGGTAAAAGGTATGCAAACCTCACTAAACACTAGGCCTAAACCGAGAGCAAGCGTATAAGCGGTGGTCTAATCAACCTAAGCACTTCGCAAAGCACCTATGCTAATCACCTAATCAATCATTAAGCACTATGCAAGTGGAGATCACTAAAATGGTGTGTCAACACCTTTGGTATGTTTTTTAGCTCCACTATCTTAAAATGGTCGGTTGGGGGATCTATTTATAAGCCCCACTGAGAAAGTAGCCGTTGGGGACGAAATCTCGCTTTTCTGCTACTGATCGGACGCTGATCACGTCCTGACCGGACGCGTCCGATTGTCCCGACCGTTAGAGCTGCGATCAACTGATCGGACGCGTCCGGTCGTATTTTCGTCGCTCTGGAACCTCTCTGTACTCGACCGGACTCTGTTGTCCTGCGTCCGGTCGATCTGCCGCCAACGTCCAGTCCAGCGTTCGATCACGCCTGTTGCCGAGCCTCTTGATCGGAGCGTCCGGTCACTTTCCTCCAGCGTCCGATTCAGCGTTCGGTCACCTCTGTGAGCTCGTTTCTTCGCGATCTTGCGTACGGCTTGGTTCTTATCTTCGTGCTTGGACTTTGCTTGATATCTTGGGTCTTCTCTTGTGTTCCTAGGGTCTTGCTTATAGTGTTAATCATCGGATCATCACGTCGCCTTGGTCCAAGTCATGTCTTACATCCTATTGAACTACAAAATAATCACTTGCAAATTCATTAGTCCAATTTGGTTGTGTTGGTCATCAAACACCAAAATCCAAAGTAAATGGACCTAGGGTCCATTTTCCTTATAATCTTCCCCTTTTTGGTGATTGATGACAACACGACCAAAACAAGCAAATAATAAAAATTTGGAATTTTAAAAACTATCTACTTGCTAGAATGTAATGCAAGGAGCAAGGTAATATGATGCTAAAAGATACTACTTGTAAGACAAGATGATACTACTTGAACATTTATCTTGCCCTTGTAAAAATCCCCATGTGGTATTATGGATTTAAACTACAAAATCTCCCCGTTACATAGGCTAATCCATAATCCACTATCCTTCTTTTCTCGGACCATTATCACTTGTAGACACCACTTGTAGACCATTACCACTTATAAATTATTATGATCTAGCTTTTGGTCCTATAAATTAGTGCTTGCTTTTGGTCCTCTAAATTCTCTCCCTTTGAAATCAAACAACAAAAAGAAAGACATTAGTAGCACAAGGGAGGGTCAAACTTTGTGATTCTTTGTGTGTAAAGTGGAATAGGTCACAAAATTTGACTCTCACATTATATAGATTAAGCTCCCCCTTAATATATGCATACATATGGTAGAAAGTAACTCATATGCATATCTGGCAAATTATTGCTTAAGGGAATTTAATCTATATAGGCCCTGTTCGGCTGAAGGAATCTAGATGAATTTGGAGGAATTTGTGAGAGGAAAACACTGTTTCGGATGAAAAAAGAAGCGGATCTAGCCGGGTTTAAGGGCACGCGAACGGGGCTGCATGGAGAAAGCATATAAATATCAAAATGAAATCAACATGATGATATCAGTTTAGAAATACCACATGTAGAAACCAATTTAATTTCTACCACTTGCAATAGGTGGTGAATATTTGAAGTATGATGCTTAACTCCGGGGAGTCCATTTTTCTTGCAATGAGACTACTTCACACATGATAAGCTTAAAAAGGTGTTAGTATCAAAGTATCTAATTTATAGAGTAACCTCCCCCCTAAACTTATACACACAAGTATGGGATATTTATAGAAGTCATGCACATTGATTTTAGAATCAATAATACCACTTAAAAGATGACATCTTATGAATGTGAGAATCATTTTCAAAAATAATATTCAGGAGAAATTATATACAATTTGAACTTTGGCACATATTAGATGAACAATCAAAAGACAAGTTATGTGATATGCTCTTAAACAATTTTAAATCATGTAGGTTTGCTCCAAGGGTTATGAATGAAACCGAGCAAGCCTACCATAAGATATACATAGTGTATGCATAACAAAAGATAT